AGTGGGTCTCGAACCCGCGGGCTCAGGCAATCCACTCACCTCAGCCTCCCAAAGGCGCAGGATTACAGGCTGAGCCACCAAGCCCGGCTGCTGAGTAGCATTTGATGATTTATCTAATCCAGTGTTTTAACTATTATAAAAAATACTGTAATGAACAACTGTGATGCTAAAATTCTATAAACACCCTTTTCTAAAAGGAGTGATAAGTATATAGTGCTATTTTAATGGAAAATTTTAATTTAAAACACTTTGCCTGGCACAGTGGGTATGTGCCTGTAGTTCTAGCTCCTCAGGAGGCAGAGGCAAGAGGATTGCTTGAGCCCTAGAGTTCCAGGCGTTAATGTACTGTGAGCACTGTAAATAGCCACTGCACTTCAGCCTGGGCAACATAGCAAGATGTTGTCTCTTAAAAAAAATTTTTTTTGCCTGGCTTGGTGGCTCAGCCTGTAATCCCGTGCCTTTGGGAGGCTGAGGTGAGTGGATTGCCTGAGCCTGCGGGTTCGAGACCCGCCTGGGCAGCGAGACCTCATCTCTACAATAAATCAAAAAATCAGCCTGGCATGGTAGCGCATGCCTGTAATTCTGGCTACTTGGAAGCCTGAGGCGGAAGGATCGCCGGAGCCCAGCAGGAGAGACTGCGGTGGCCGGGAGCAGCCACTGCACTCCAGTCTGGGCGATCGAGTGAGACTCCAACTCAAAAAAATAAAAAATTAAAATTAAAATTAAAAATATTTTTTAATGAATATATACAAAAGTTAGAGCACCCGGTGTTCTCATCACTTAATTGCAGCTGTATAGTAACCATAGAAAGCCTTGTTTCTTATGTGCCCGATTACTCCAGATTATTTTGAAGAATATTCCAGTCATTTCATTTTATCATAAATACTTAAATATGTATTTCTAAGGTATTAAAAACTCGGAAAAAAAACAGCATGTAGGTTTAAGTCTTTTCATATGTTATAACTAAATTGATAACCATAAAAGTACTATTTTACGTGGCTGATATATAAAAGTCCTCCACTGTTTGCTTTGTTTAATCTATGTCAAATTCAACCTTAAAATTGTGTTTAATTTGCATTCCTTTAAAGATGTGGTTTAAAAAATTTTTTATTTGTGTAGTTTCTTTGTGAAATAGCTGTTCATATTTTTTATCTTTTTAAAAAAAAACAAAAAAAAATTTGTCTTATCTTCATATACTTTTTTTCCTGTATTAAAAACCAGCCCAGGCCAGGTACTGTAGCTCACACCTGTAATCCCAGGACTTTGGGAGGCTGAGGCAGGAGGATCACTTGAGCCAGGAGCTTGAGACCAGCCTGGGCAATAAAGCAAGACCCTATCTCTATGAAAAATACAAAAAAACAGTTTTTAAAATCAACTCAGTGTTTTAAAATGTAAAGGAGATTTCTTATTTAACCTCATTTTGAAGGCCATTTCATCTACTTAACTAATCACATAGAATTTATGTATGCAGTGGCCAAGTTATGCAATTGCTGTGGCTCTGATTATTCAGTCGGCAGCCAACAATATTTACTGAGCACCTACAGGGTTCTAAGGTATAGGTGCCATTTGATGGAGAAAAAGAAATAAGATGACTGGGCGCAGTAGCTCACACCTATAATCCCAGCACTTTGGGAGGCTGTGGTGAGAGGATTGCTGAGCCCACAAGTTCAAGACCAGCCTGGGCAACTTGGCGAGACCTCATCTCTACAATAAATAAAATTAGCCAGGCGTGGTGGTGCGTGCCTATAGTTCCAACTACTTGGAAGACTGAGGCGGAAGAATTGCCTGAGCCCAGCAGGTCAAGGCTGCGGTGGCTGTGGGCATGCCACTGCACTCCAGCCTGGGCAGCAGATTGAGACTCCAACTCAAAAAGAAAAAGAAATTAGTTGCCCAGTTTTTTTCTAGTTTGTTTAAAGGGTGTTCCAAGTAGAAGGAGAAAATCTTAATCTAATTTTCAAATTTTTTTGTACATACCATAATATGGATCATTTGTGGATCAGTCACAGAAGAATTCCTGTTACACTTATCACTCTTTGGAGTGGAAAGTATCATGACTTGAAAGGTCATTTTGAATTGCGTTTTCTTGAGTACATCTTTCTGCCACCAGGGGTCAGTCCTGCATCAAGACCTTCTCCAGGAACTCCTACCAGTCCCAGCAACCTCACCAGTGGCCTGAAAACACCTGCACCTGCCACGACAGTATCTCACAACCCTCTGGCAAATATCCTCTCGAAGGTGGAGATCACCCCAGAGAGCATTCTGTCTGCACTTTCCAAAACCCAGACACAGTCAGCCCCTGCACTGCAAGGTAAACTGACATGTGCCAGAGGGACTTGAATTTTGAATGTTTGTCTCTTGCTTAATCCTGAATTTCATTTCTGAGGAATCCAAAGCCATAAAATGTATGATATAGTTAATTCATTCTTCTCTTCATTTTTATCTTCCATGAGCTGGCATTTAAAGAATTATAAAATGTCAAAGCTGAAAGAGACTTGAAATATTATCTAATCTAATACCCTCCTTTTCAGGTAAGGAAATCAAGGCTCAGTGAGGTGACATGACCTGCTTAGGGTCACACACCTGATGAGCCAGGATTGAGAGCCAGGTGTCTTGACTGGAATCCAGTGTTCTTTCACCTTAACCATGACACCCAGCTATGTTAATCCCAGCTTTTAGTAGAGGTTAATATATGTTAAGTTTTACATATTTTAATATTAATCAAAACTAGAGACAGAAAAGTCAAAATATTATCAAAAAAAACTTATGCAACATCAATGTCTTTTTTATTATATTTTATATGTTTTAGACATGGTGCCTCTTTTTTGTTTTCGCCTACTTTTAATCTCTGCCTCATTTGAATCTCTCTGGTGAACTTTGCTAATTGTGTTTTGTGTGTGACATCGTCTGCTTTTAACATTTTTTCATAAAGCATACCTGCATACTCCCTTGGCCTCCACATACCAACACAACCCCTTTTAAGCACCGTAGTATAATTATGCAGTGAATTACAAATACCAAACCAGTATCTTCAATGTAGTAGACTCAGCCAAGGGCCTCCAAGGGACATTTGGCAATGTCTGGAGACCTTTTTGCTTGTCACAGCTGGGGTGAGCATGGAGGCGCTACTGTATCTAGTGAGTAGAGACCAGGGGGTGCTCCTCAACATCCTGCAATGCACAAGACTGTCCCCAACGACAGTGAGCTATCCAGCCCAAATGCCAGTGGTGCTGAGGCTGAGAACTTCCTCTGTATGTATAGAACTCTATCGGTATCTGCTAATTTTCTGTTTTCTAAACTTTTGTAAGTGGTCCTTGAAACATTATATAACGGACTTAAGATACAGAAGAATTTTGTTACACAGAACTGAATATTATTAAGTGATAATCCACAGCAAAGAATTGTTAGTAACTACAGCATACCTTATCTTAATGAGTTCAGGGACAGTTCATTTGAGAGAGTGACATATTTGTGATTTCTGTCTTTTAATTCCTGTTCTATCACCATCTTACAGTAAACGTCCTGAACTCATTTGTATTTTAGTTTCTCATATAGATACGTTGCTGCATCTTAAAGGGAAGCTTTTCCTTTTATCATATCATGATAACAGTATTGTGTGGACTTTCTTATCAGGGAAAATTTGAACAGAACTAGGTATGTTCTGATAAAATAAGTGTGAAACCCAGAAAACAGCCTTTATGAAGTGACAGGGTAATCACCTTTTGGTTCCTTATGGAAAGTGAATGCTCCTTGACTTTTAAAAGGACTTTTAAAAGTATCTAGCAATGTAAATGGATGTGTTTCCTCAAAGATTGTAAAGGAAGTCTCTTGGAACTTTGTTCTGATTGTGTCATCCATGGCCCTTAGTGACAGATTTTCAACACAAAAGAAAGACTTCAGCCGGGCTCAGTGGCTCAGCCTGTAATCCCGCGCCTTTGAGAGACTGAGGTGAGTGGATTGCCTGAGCCCGCGGGTTCGAGACCCTCCTGGGCAACTTGACAAGATCTCATCTCTACAATAAATCAAAAATTAGCCGGGCGTGGTAGCGTGTAGTTCCAGCTACTTGGAAGGCTGAGGCGGAATGATTGTCAGAGCCCAGCAGGTCGAGGCTGCGGTGGCCGGGAGCAGCCACTGCACTCCAGTCTGGGCGACCGAGTGAGACTCCAACTCAAAAAAAAAAAAAAAAAAAAAGATTGAAGAAGCCGGGCTCGGTGGCTCAGCCTGTAATCCCGTGCCTTTGGGAGTCTGAGGTCAGTGGATTGCCTGAGCCCGTGGGTTTGAGACCTGCCTGGGCAACTTGGCGAGACCTCATCTCTACAATAAATCAAAAAAAACAACTGGGCATGGTAGCACATGCCTGTAATTCCGGCTACTCGGAAGGCTGAGGCGGAAGGATCGCCTCAGGCAGGTCGAGGCTGCGGTGGCCGGGAGCATCCACTGCACTCCAGTCTGGGCGACAGAGTGAGACTCCAACTCAAAAAAAAAAAAAGATTGAAGAAAAGTAGCTGGGTGTGGTGGTTCACGCTTGTAAGCACTTTGGGAGATGAAGGTGAGAGGATTACTTGAACCCAGGGGTTCAAGACTGGCCTGGGCAACTTGGTGAGACTTCATCTCTACAATAAATCAAAAAATTAGCCAGGCATGGTGACACATGCCTGTATTTCCAGCTACTTGAAAGGCTGAGATGAAAGGATCACCTGAGCCCAACAGGTCGAGGCTGCGGTAGCCGTAAGCATGCCACTACACTCCAGCCTGGGAAACAGAGTGAGACTCCTACTCCAAAAAAAAAAAAAAAAAAAGAAGAAGATTGAAGAAAAGTAATATTTCATAGTGAGAGAAACTTTCAATGTCCAGAAATCTAAGTAGTATCTGTCTCTTAAGCTGGCCTTTTAAAGAACTTATTCCACAACATCTGAAAGATAGGCTGAAATATCTTTTTTAAATCATGATATTATATATCACATTCTAGTGCTTGAGGACTTCTGATTCTGGTAAGAACAGTGACTACTAAGAATTAAATTATTAGGAGGAGCAAATTATATAGCCAGGGAACTTTTTGGAATTAATGGAATTTTTTTCAGGAGCATAATAACTGAAGTAAACATTATTTCAATTGGTTGGATATTGTTGGATATTAGATGTTGGGTTATTAGGTAATAATAAAAACCATGCAACATTATTTAGAAACAGATGACTTTAAAATGTTACAAGGATGGAGGAGTTTTGAAATTCCTTAGACCTTGTAGCTATTAGAAAATATGGACTGCCGGGCTCAGTGGCTCAGCCTGTAATCCCAGCACTTTGGGAGACTGAAGTGAGTGAATTGCCTGAGCCCACGGGTTCGAGACCCACCTGGGCAACTTGGCGATACCTCATCTCTACAATAAATTAAAAAACTAACGTGGCGTGGTAGCATGCGCCTATAATTCTGGCTACCTGGAAGGCTGAGGCGGAAGGACCACCGGAGCCCAGCGGGTTGAGGCTGTGGTGGCCGGAAGCGGCCACTGCACTCCAGTCTGGGCGACAGAGTGAGACTCCAACTCAAAAAAAAAAAAAAGAAAATGGATTAAACTTGAAATTTTGAAGAAAGATTAATTGAAATGTTATATGAAGTGTTACTGTATTTTACCTTATCATTACTAAGGAACAGTTTTAGTGTATTTAGTAACTAAAAGCCATAACTGTGTGTTGAAATGTATGTTTATGACCAAAAATTGGGCACATTTTCCAAAATGTGATTGGATTTATATAACCTTTTGTGATCTCTTTGTCAAATATTTTTCTTAAAAAATTTCTACAGTGCCACTTTGCTCGGTTGAGCTTCAGGCTTTGCTCCAAAGAATTCTTTCTCAGTGCTGAGAAGGTTTTGACTATCAGTGAATAGGTTTGAATCTCACCATTGTCAATCTGGACTAATCAATAATCCTTGGATTTTCCACACTATAAAATGGGGATTGTGTGTTTTCTTATGAAAGGTCCAGTGCCTCTGGTGGTCTGGCTTTGTAAGTCTTTGTGGTGTATTTATTTTAGCTATATTTTGCAACCAAAAGGGATAGTTGAAAGCATTGTTTCCCAAAAGGTGACACCAGTCTGGCAAGAAATGCTGCTTTGAAAAAAGTATTTCCTATTAAGGTGAACTTCTGAAATTTGCATATGCTATCTCCCTCTTGGAAATTGCAATGCACACTAACTTATTAGAGATAACTGTGGAGGTTGGGAAGGAGAGGTAGGGAAGAGCATCTTTTTGCATTCAGAGAAATATTTCCACAGATCAAACACTAAGAAATACTGGCTTAAAGTGTTGTCTTAAGAATAATCTTGACTCCTTTCTTTTCCTGCCTTGCCTTACTTAAACTGTGAATGATTCTGACGTTAAAATCTCCCTCTTCCTGTTGCCTTTTATTGTGCTCTGTTGGGCTTATTTCTGGACTGTACTAGAAACATTTCAGTGGTGTGCTCTTTATTGATAAATAGGGTCAGTGTTTCCTACAGCATTTAGCCATTGCTCGTTTGGTCTGGATTCTCTTCAGCCTCAGACTTTGTCTATCTGGTTCCCACCAGAATGAATGAGACTATCCGATTAGCTGACATTGTTTGCATTGTATGGTAGGGAGTTGTTCTTTTTAATCTCTCTAATCTTTGTTTCTACAGGCTTGTCATCTTTGCTTCAGAGTGTCACTGGGAACCCAGTTCCAACCAGTGAAGCTGCATCACAGAGCACTTCAGCTTCCCCTGCCAGCACCACGGTCTCTACCATGAAGGGAAGAAATCTCCCCTCCAATACCCAGTCTTTTATTCCCAAAAGCTTCAGCTTTTCTCCTAACTCATCAACTTCTGAAGTCTCTTCCACTTCAGCCAGCAAGGCCTCAATTGGGCAGAGCCCAGGGCTTCCAAGCACTACTTTTAAACTGCCGTCCAACTCCGTGGGCTTTACAGGCACCCACAATACTAGCCCTGCTGCCCCACCTACTGAAGTTGCCATGTGCCAATCTTCAGAGAGCTCCAAGCCAAAGCTGGAGTCAGAGTCTACTTCCCCAAGCCTGGAAATGAAGATCCACAACTTCTTAAAAGGTAACCCTGGTTTCAGTGGCTTAAATTTAAACATCCCAATCCTGAGCAGTTTGGGGTCCAGCGCCCCATCAGAGAGCCATCCCTCAGACTTCCAGCGTGGCCCTACTAGCACCTCAGTCGACAACATTGATGGAACCCCTGTGCGTGATGAACGGAGTGGGACACCCACCCAGGATGAGATGATGGACAAGCCCACATCCAGCAGTGTAGATACCATGTCCCTGCTTTCTAAGATCATTAGCCCTGGTTCCTCAACACCCAGCAGTACAAGATCACCGCCCCCTGGGAGAGATGAAAGCTACCCCCGGGAGCTCTCCAATTCTGTATCTACGTATCGACCCTTTGGCCTGGGCAGTGAATCTCCCTATAAGCAGCCTTCTGATGGAATGGAGAGACCATCTTCCCTGATGGACTCTTCACAGGAAAAGTTCTATCCAGATACTTCTTTCCAAGAAGATGAGGATTACCGAGATTTTGAGTATTCAGGGCCTCCACCCTCTGCCATGATGAACCTAGAGAAGAAACCAGCCAAATCTATCCTGAAATCAAGCAAGCTTTCTGATACCACCGAGTACCAGCCAATCCTGTCCAGTTATAGCCACAGGGCCCAAGAATTTGGGGTAAAGTCTGCTTTCCCTCCATCTGTAAGGGCCCTCCTGGACTCTAGTGAGAACTGTGACCGTCTCTCATCTTCCCCTGGGCTATTTGGTGCCTTCAGCATAAGAGGGAATGAACCTGGGTCTGACCGGTCACCATCACCGAGTAAGAATGATTCATTTTTCACCCCTGACTCCAACCACAATAGCTTGTCTCAATCTACCACTGGGCATCTCAGTTTACCACAGAAGCAGTACCCAGACTCTCCTCACCCAGTCCCACATCGTTCCCTTTTCTCTCCGCAGAATACCCTTGCCGCTCCCACGGGTCACCCACCCACATCAGGCGTGGAGAAAGTCCTGGCCTCCACCATTTCCACCACGTCGACGATTGAGTTTAAGAATATGCTTAAAAACGCCTCACGCAAGCCCTCAGATGATAAGCATTTTGGCCAGGCCCCCAGCAAGGGCACTTCAGGTGATGGTGTCAGTCTCTCAAACCTCGCCCAGCCCAGCCTGACCACCACTGATCAGCAGCAGCAAGAAGAGCACTACCGCATAGAAACCCGCGTCTCCTCCTCCTGCTTAGACTTGCCTGATAGCACAGAAGAAAAGGGGGCCCCTATAGAAACCTTGGGTTATCATAACGCATCCAATAGGAGGATGTCAGGGGAGCCGATACAGACCGTAGAGTCCATCCGAGTTCCTGGGAAGGGAAATAGAGGACATGGGCGTGAGGCATCAAGGGTGGGGTGGTTTGATCTGAGCACGTCAGGCAGCTCTTTTGACAATGGCCCTTCAAGTGCCTCAGAGTTGGCATCCCTTGGGGGTGGGGGCAGCGGAGGCCTCGCTGGCTTTAAAACAGCACCGTACAAGGAACGGGCGCCCCAATTTCAGGAGAGTGTCGGCAGCTTTCGTTCCAACAGTTTCAACTCAACATTTGAGCATCATCTGCCCCCGTCCCCCTTGGAACATGGGACACCCTTCCAGAGAGAGCCAGTGGGGCCATCATCTGGCCCACCTGCCCCTCCCAAGGATCACGGTGGTATCTTCTCTCGAGATGCACCCACTCATCTACCCTCTGTGGATCTCTCGAACCCCTTCACAAAGGAGGCGGCCCTGGCCCACGCTGCCCCACCCCCTCCTCCAGGAGAGCACAGCGGAGTTCCTTTCC